GTGCCACATAATCATGCTACTCTTCAAAACAAACCTGGACAGTCTCTGTTTACCTCAATCTCACCACCTAGGATTCCAGACAAGAAGAAGGTTGGTGAATCTATTTCCTACCCATACACACAGTGCTTCTTAACAGCCTCACAGGTATTGCAGATTTGAAGGGACTTTGAAGCCTGACCACTTCTTTAGCCTGAGACAGAGATACAGTAGCAGAACCACTCTTCTTCTGCACTTCAATCTCTACACAGGACTCAGGTGGAAGAGGGAAACAGTCATCCTTCTCCCCTGTGATAATCAATGTGATACCAAGGAGGGCGCCTTTACATCAGACCTAGAAGCAACAATGAATTTTCCAGTCCTCATCCCAGTTTGAAGCCCAGCAAGACAAACGGATGAAAAACAGCATCTGAAAACACATGCAAACCCTGGATTGTCCTGGGTCCATTTAATGGTGAGTTTGCAACTACATGAAGGTAAAGTGAGGCAAACACTGTCTGCCACCTCTTTACAAGATGTAAAAGCTAAGTGAATCCTTTCAGTAATGAATTCTTATTTGCAGTGGCTTTAAATTGAAGAAAATGAGTGTTTCTTTCTCCTCTCCGAGCGTGCGGAGCCCCCATCGGGGTTGCTATGCAACCACCTCCTGCACATGGCTGATAACACTCTCCGCATTATTTCCCCGCCTGACTGCACCTTCAGAACAAAGCCGGGCTAATGAAGCTTTCAAATGCTCTTAGCTCTGCCTTTAACAGGTCAACATGGGTTTTCTTTGCATGTTTGTGACAGTTACATCCCTCCAGACAGCGGTGTTTCCGGGGCTCGATGGAGGAAATGCCCAATGGAGAGCGATGGACAGGATCAGAGAAGAGCAGCAGAACACCCGACAGACGCAGCCAGCCTCCAAACAGAAGGGCAGCCACGCACGCCACGAAACAGGCAGCGATGACGAGACCCTCGGAAGCATTGAGGCACGGGTAGTACAGACCAAGCCAGGCGTCCTCCAGTTCCCAGTTACCCGTCAGATGTAATGCCCTTATACCACAACTGCTTGTAGGTGTGGGTACAGCAAGGACAAACCTCCCCACGGGTGTATGTGAGAAGGGACAGGATGAAGACGACTCACCAAGTTAGGCAGTACCAGTCCCTTAAAGCCCTGAGGGACTGTTTTTTTAAACAATCTGTGAAATAAATGTGACTGTGTTTTTATTATGCAGCATGGCTTGAACCTGCCAGAGGGGAGACTGAGCTGAGCTCTTAGGCAGAAGCTGTGAGGGTGCTGAGGCGCTGGCACAGGGTGCCCAGAGAAGCTGTGGCTGCCCCATCCCTGGCAGTGTTCAAGGCCAGCTTGGACACAGGGGCTTGGAGCAAGCTGCTCCAGTGGAAGGGGTCCCTGCCCATGGCAGGGGTTGGGACTGGAGGAGCTTTAAGGTCCCTTCCAACCCAAACCATTTTATGAAGGAAACTTCCTAAGTGATAATACAGTGATTTTTTTGCCTGTCTGACCCTCTTGGTTGTTCATACTTGCCAGGCTGGTGAAGTTGAAGGTGTGATTACCTAGAGGATAAGGAAGGAAAAGAGAAAGAAACCAATATTAATGAAGGGTGCTGTTGTCCCTGTGTGGGCTTTTTGAGTTTGTTTTGCAGGGTTTGGAGGAGATGCAGATACATACAAGTTCTGCTGGCCTCTCCTCGCTTATTCCAAACCTTGCTCTTGGCAGGCTGCAGTAGAAATGTGCTTCAGTGCCTCCCTGTCCTTTGCAGGCTGAAGAGCAGAGGCTGGTTCCCCTTGCTTGAACCTTTGGCTGGATAACCCTTTCCATGCTAGGAGGGTGAGGGGGGCCTTCAGTACAGAATGTACTTCATGTTGGTCCATGTGTGGATGGATGCTTCAAGTTGTGAATGAACTGCTTGCTTGTGACTCATGTTGGAACTGAATCTTTTGAGCCTTACCCACAGTTTGAAAAGTCCTGAGAAGTATGGTTATGTATAACCCACCTGTGTTATATCCTGTCTCAGCTCTTTGTAGTGCCTGGGCAATGCAAGCAGAGAAAGTTGCTATGATCTGTGCAGATGACTCTGTAGTAAGCCTTCTTTGGACACAAGAGGCAGTCAGAAAGTGGAGTAATTGCCTTTTAGTTATAAAAAACCAGCAGAGCTTGCTCAGGGTTTCAAGAGGGACAATTAAAGATATTGCATTGTTTTCTTCAAAAGGAGAAATAGACCTGGGGGTTCCCTAATGGCCCTCATGATCCTGCATTGAGCTCTCAGAGTGCCTTGTTGTGGGTTGCATTTATTATGAGCCAATTATTATCCCTAATTATTTAGCAGGGGGGAGGTCTCTCAGTAACAGGCAAAGTTGTGCCTTGATGAACACTCAGCTGTCTGTGTTTAAGATAAAATTACTGTAATTAACAAATCGATCAACCCTACTTTCACTTTGTCCGGCTGGAACAGAACAAATGGGGTGAAATAAGACCTATTTAGTGCAAAGGTAGAGAAAGGGGTTTGCAGCCCTCAGGATACACAGGTTTGAAGGGCTGCTCTTGTGGTTGTTTTTTTTTCCCCACACAGTGCTTTTCATGTTAATGTCACACAATTGTCTTTTGTTGGGTAATTTTGTCTCCAACAAAAAGCATTCGTGCTGCACTTCCCGCAGCCCAGCACGACAGAGCCAGTGCCTGAACAGGCAAGTGGGTTGTGCTGTTATAACCTAAACTCTGAGCAGGGCTGGGGGGGATCCCCTGGGTGCTCTGCTCTTCTGTGACTCTTGTTCCCAGCCCCTCTCCAGCTTTCCTGCAGCCCCTTTAGGCACTGGGGCTGCTCTAAGGTCTCCCCTTCAGGAGCCTTCTCTTCTCCAGGCTGCCCCAGCCCAGCTCTCTCAGCCTGGCTCCAGAGCAGAGCTGCTCCAGCCCTCGCAGCATCTCCATGGCCTCCTCTGGCCTCACTGCAACAGCTCCAGGTCCCTCTTGTGCTGCTGCCCCAGAGCTGGATCAGGGCTGCAGGGGGGGTTGCCCCAGAGTGCAGCATTTGCCATGATAGTTTATTTTCAGCACTAATGAAACTGGATCCAAGAAGTTTAATCACATTTTTATTGTTTCACTGAATAAATGGATTTTAAATAAAGAATTAAAAATTTGTAAAAAAGTTATTGAAAGCCAGCATTCAGAAGTAGGTTGCACATCAGTAATTGAAAAATTCATATTTACTTTTCAGTACAAAGACAGGAAAGAAAAATAAAAAAGCATATCCATCATCTGGAAAGAGATGTGTTTTTTTTCTTTTTTACATTTCCTTCCATGTTTGAGAACTGATATTTGTCTTGTGAGAACCTCCCACCAACCTGGTTTTCACAGCACTGATTCACATTGCTTGGTGTTGAAAAGAAATCCTACTCACTTGTTTACAGCAGCGGTGATGTAGTGTTTCCCCTTCATGCGCATTGGAAGCCAGTTTTCTTAACGGAACATCCAGCATATGAGGCGTATTAAGAAAATGCAGTGTTATGTGATTTGCAGGGATGTAATTTAGCTTATGAAAGATCTTTGAGCTTACACTGATAGCTTTATGATTGGGTATTTCTTACAGTATCACATCTCTGGCATTGAATCTTTGCTAAGCTCCATCACTGCAACAAAGACTTCCACAAGTGATGAGTGAATAGGTACCATCAATTTTTATGCCCGGTTTTAAAACAGGTTGGTCTTCCAAGAGACACAAATCAGCCATCCTCAGGGACAGGAATCAGGTCCTTTTGGGCACAGTTTCACCCCTGTAAAACAGAGGCACCTCAAGAAGCCTTGACATTGGGGTTCTGGGTTGGGCGGTGGGTTCTTCGCAAGTTTCTATTATGGGTACTTAAAAAGACAGCTATGAAGAGGATCTCAGCACTCAGTGCCATCTGCATCATCTCAGCTAAAAAAAAGTAGACTAATACTTTAATATATGCATCATTTCAAGACATCAGCCCCACTCACTCACACAACATTCACAACAGGTAAGGAAGAATATGGGTTACGGCTCACCTGTTCCTCAGCCACCAAGAGAATTTAACCACACAGACAGGCAGACTACAAAATGAGGTTCCCTTATAATAGAAACTGGGGCTTGAGTTAATGAACAGGGGTAGCTATACCTCAACCTGGAGCGGGGCGAGGGGAGAAACAGAGAAGGGGAAGTCCAGACTGCAATGGAAAAAAAATCATATAACAAAAGAGCTAAGACTGGAGATTGTCACCAGTGCAGCTAGGATCTGACAAAGGAAATACTTTGAGTACACACTTGCAGGGCAGCCCTGCTTCTGCCATGTGAATAAATATCCAACAGTGTGTAAAAACAGTATATAAAAAAAGATGTAGTGATTTTCAGAGATGGTGCATGTTCCATCCCCTGGCACTGCACAGGAGGTTTCCTCTCACGAGGTATTTCAGCATCACCACAAAGGAAAACAACACTTCTGCACACCTCTTCCACAAGTACAGTCTGATTTGAGGTCGTGTGATGGTTATGCAGTGATGTGAGATGCAAGCATTCTGCTCTGCTCTCATCTCTCCAGACCACAGAGATCACTGCACTGTGTGGGATGAAAACCTGCACTCGAGGTGGTGAAAGCTCAATTCAGTACCCACTGTGCAACCAGGTACAAGCACAGACCTCTTTGTTCAGCCACCGCACATCTTAGGGGGTTCTTTGATTTGTTTTTAAACAGACATGTTCACAGACAGTCTTCCAAAAAGAAGTTCAGTTTCTGTGGCCAGGTCTGACCTCCAGTTACCTCAGAATATTTCCTTGGTTGTCTGTTGATATATAGGTTGTGCATCGAAATAAATGCAATGGTTTACCCTCATCAGTGACAACCTCTATGTTGGTTTTGCATTACCAGCAGAGCTCCATGGGGCAGGCACCTTCTATCATGCACACTGTACATTTCAAAGGCTGCTGTCCATCTCATACTTTTTTCCAAGGGTGTTTTCCTGAGTTGCATAGATGCAACTCATGAATGGTAGCCATTAAATACAGGATGTTGGCTTCACACCCCCTCTGGCTGTTCTGGAAACATCCTTTTTCATTCTTCAAAGAACCCAAGAGTATCTTGTTAGTGAAACCCAGGCTCACAACTTTTTCTGGCGATATGCAACAGTCGACAGTGGCTCTCACCTATGGGATGCCATTAGTACCGCTGCAGCATTTGACCCTCTCCTCTAAAATGTGGGTGTGATCAAAAGAAAGAGCAAATCCAGAAGAAACAGATTACTTCTACCATCTTCAGGAGGTCATTTCTTCTGTTCCATCCCTACTGCACAATCACTGTAGCTTTCTTTGCAGAGTTTGTTGGGGGGGGGGGATATTTTGTTTAAAAATAGTCATACCTCCTGCAAACCCTGCTACATGAAGGTAATTGCTGCTGGTTACCGACAGCCCTGTAGCACGTAGGGTAGGGTGTTCTCACAGCCAGCTGTCATGGAAGCAGTAAATAAAGCTAGTTTTCCTTCAAAGACACAAGCATTGTCCAGTCTGTGACTATACCAGGAACATCTCTATGGCTTTTCCATACCCTCCAAAACTTCAGCAGAATGCTTTATTTTGTTCATGCTTTCCTTAAAACACCCGAGGATAAGATGGATTTTGCTTAATTATCCACTCAGCATGGGGATTGATGTGGTACAAGTCTAAAAGGTAAGTGTCCGGGTCCAGGCAATGTTCACCTATGAAAAACCAGAAAAAAAAGCATTTCCTATATCCTTAGTCCTATAGTTGATAGGTTTGGGTGTTTGGTTTTTTGTTTGGGTATTTGATCACATTAATTTCAATATCACAACTATTCAGAAGTTTTTCTACAGATCTGGAGAATTTCTAGTTATTTATGTTTAAATGAATGTACATGTCTTAAAACTCTGCTAAGCCTAAGTTTTGACCTTTGTGAAAAGACTCTCTAACATTAATACTCCATAACTTTACCACTTGAAAACCATCATGAAATGTGCTAGTGATCAAATCCAGAGACTGAATTGTTTCCAAGTGACTGAGCTTTTCCTCTATTGATGCTACTAAGAGAAATACAAAGAGGCAGCCAAAACACTAGAGTAACCAACAGCCTCCAGAAGCATCTGTAACAGAGCATAAGAATTCCTTCCCATTTCCAGACACCCCTAATCTGCCGCTACAATTGCATTATTTGAGTCTCCTCCCCACTTGATGACATTACCCTACTGACAAGGGGAAATTGGTGACTAATGAACATCAACGTGTTTAACTACATGGTCGGAGAAACCTCCACCCGAGTTAGTACAGGCTCTTTTATCAGGAAGTGGATGGAGGCAGACAGGATTCACATCTGGTACAGATGCCATGTGCCAGCCTACCACACTTAATTAAAGCCCAGATATGAGGCACAGAATTAAAAGCCTAGTTGCATAGGATGAAGTTTCCCTTTACACCTTCCTGGACCCCTTCCACTGGAGCAGCTTGCTCCAAGCCCCTGTGTCCAACCTGGCCTTGAACACTGCCAGGGATGGGGCAGCCACAGCTTTTCTGGGCACCCTGTGCCAGCGCCTCAGCACTCTCACGGGGAAGATTTGTCTTTTCCTTTGAAAGTCCAGATTCAACCTCCCCACATACTTGCACTATAAAGGCTTTGCAGAGTGGGCTGGAAGACATAAGAACTACCAACCAAATTGCTTTGGCAGGTGCTGTTTGGTGTGACTGAAGTTGACTCATGCTTGCTCAGCTGTGTTCTAACTTCTGGAGCCCCACTCCAAATCTCATCCTTTTTATAACTGCTTCCTAAGACAAGTTAAGCATAAATACTGAGTATCAGAGTCCTTATTTTCAGTTACCGCTCAGACTTACCAATATTGCCTCCCACTTCATACAGGAGCAAGTTTGTGCACTCTATTGAGTTGTTACTGCAGAGAGAAAAAACACACTGAAGTTAAAGCTATGCAAAAATCAGGCTAGGCAGTTTAGCAGTGTTTCTTCCAAATGAATTGCTTGTGGTTTAGAGACCAGCAATGGTCAAGGAATCTACAGGCTTCGGAGACCATTGCTGATTGTCCTAACAGTGCATCTCTTGACAGACACCCAAAATTGGGAAAAAAGAAAACAAAGCAGATATTCCTCACTAGTAGGAGGAAGCACATTATACGCAAACACTGACTTTTCAATAGGTAGACAACTGGCATAAATACCAAAATTCACTGGCAACATTCCTGTAGAGCTGATGGCCTGTTCAAGAGAAGCTCATCTGTAGGAAGACTTCAGCAGCTGTAGGAGCTTGTTAGTAAGACACCAGCTGACCCATAGTCAGCCAGCTTCCCATCCATGTTCCCTGTCTAGACACCTCCTGGCCAGGGGCACAGTCAAGAGATGCACTAACACTTTACCTACCAAGGCACGGTGACAAGGGGGGCAGGAATTCTGCTCTTTTTGGGGGTTATTTAGTGATTCACCACTGAAGCAGAGTTTATTTTAGGAAATCCCTATATTAACATGTTGGAAATACTATTCCAGGCAAATAATTTGCACAGGTGATGTTTTCCTCCAAGAGAGCTAGAGAGAGTTTCTTTTACAGGGTCAGTGTTACTCCACTTTCCCTTCCTCAGCAAGGATGCTGAAATTCACCTGCCATCCAGCAGCCCAGAGAGAACTCCTGAGCTCAAAACATCCAGAGCACAGTGATGGAATCACTCAATTGAACTAATAGTTGCTTTCCCCATCCAACACACTATTCCCAAAGTTTAGAGGAGCAGAGAACAGCCTCCTAATGGCTCCTTGAGCCACTGCATGAGGTTCCTTTAAGGCGAGGTTGCAAGGGGCTCTGAGCAGCCTGCTCTAGTGGAAGGCGTCGCTGCCCATGGCAGGGGTTGGAACTAGATGAGCTTTAAGATCCCTTTTGACACTAACCATTCCAGGATTCTTTGGTCAGCTCTGCCAGAAAACCAAAACCAGCAACTAGATCACCTAGTGATTGCTTTTCTTTCTTTTCTTTTCTTTTCTTTTCTTTTTTTTTTTAATTTTAAAAGCAGAGAAAAAGCTATTTACCACTTGAGGAGGTTGACAGTGTTCACAATATTCCAGCCATGCTGGCACATGTTCTTTTGAAACTGCCTCAAGACATCAGCAGCTCTGGTTGCGTTGTTCAAGTGCACTTCTAGTGAATCCTTCAGGAGAAGTGAAGCATGGACTTTCACAATCTTGGAAGGCTGAACAAGGCAGGCAAAAAAAACAGTGCTTAATGAAAGACTTTGTTATCATCTAAAATATTAAGTTTCAAGTTAGATCGAAGAACGTGAAGAATTACACCAGAATTACAGCCAGCAGTTCAAAGGATTCAGGTTTCTTTATTATCCCCGCATACTATCAACTGGAAGCTTATAGAAGCATCAAGGTGAACATTATAAAGACTTCCTCAGTACATTGGTGGTGTGTTTGGGGAGAAAAGCATCATTCTCTATCAGCGTGCGCTGGTGCTCTCTGCTGTTCAAATGCAGCACTGGCACCAGAAGCACCACAAACTTCGTGAAAATAAAATTTGTCAGAATAAATTATGACAAACCGTCAAGTCCTATTTTTTTTTAAGACTGTTTTCATCGATTCCTTCATGAAGAAACTCCTCAGACCTTTTGGAGAGAACACCAGGACCCCCCCTGCAGCCCTGATCCAGCTCTGGGGCAGCAGCACAAGAGGGACCTGGAGCTGTTGGAGCGAGTGCAGAGGAGGCCATGGAGCTGCTGCGAGGGCTGGAGCAGCTCTGCTCTGCAGCCAGGCTGAGAGAGCTGGGCTGGGGCAGCCTGGAGAAGAGAAGGCTCCTGAAGGGGAGACCTTAGAGCAGCTCCAGTGCCTAAAGGGGCTGCAGGAAAGCTGGAGAGGGGCTTGGGACAAGGGCCTGTAGGGACAGGCCAAGGGGAATGGCTTGAACCTGCCTGAGGGGAGACTGAGCTGAACTCTTAGGCAGAAGCTCTTCCCTGTGAGGGTGTTGAGGCGCTGGCACAGGGTGCCCAGAGAAGCTGTGGCTGCCCCATCCCTGGCAGTGCTCAAGGCCAGGTTGGACACAGGGGCTTGGAGCAAGCTGCTCTAGTGGAAGGGGTCCCTGCCCGTGGCAGGGGTTGGAGCTGGAGGAGCTTTAAGATCCCTTCCAACCCAAACCATTCTATGATTCTATGAAACATTAAACTGTTCTAATGGGGTCTAATCTGCAGCAAGTTAATTTTGCAATCCCAAATCCTCTGCAAAACCACTGTACAAAACTGAAACTGTGAGATCAGTGCTAACCAGTCCTATGCATCGATCATCTGTTTGACTGCCTGAACAGTAGTTACACTCTCTGAAATGACAGCTCCTTCCACAGTGACATGCTGCCTTGACAAGCCAAATTTTAGGCAGATGTCATCTCATTATCCCAACTCATACAGAAAGGTGGGTGTTATACTGGCTTGTGCGCTGGCTCTTCAGGTATTATAGAATGGTTTTGGTCGGAACGGTCCTTAGAGATCATCCAGTTCCATTCAGATTTAAGCTTTCAATATATTAATTCCACCTGCAGACTCCTTTCAATTAAAAAAAAAATCAAAAAAGCTGTTAAGATTCTAACTCCCCTGTTCTGATGAGGAGGCATCTGAAGCCCTTTCACCTGCTACATTTTGAAAGAGCAGATGCTGATGGGATCAGCTGTGCTGCAGGGCACAGCCTCTGCTCTCTGTGCTTTAGAAATGTCATGGTGCTAGTGCTTCCTCTGAGGTTTTTTTTTCTCCTGAGTAGTTCAGCTTCCAGGTGATAAAGGCAAGGCTGAGCTACCATCCTGCAGGCTCTGGAATTCAGAATCCAGTCAAAGATGACAGGCTTGTGTCCCTGGAGTATCCCAATTGCAGCACCACTCCTATGCAATACTTAAAATCCAGCACTGCATGAAGCAATCTACAGACCTACCTTACTTAACCAACAGCGGCAACCAAAGGAAAAGGCAGAATGACACCAAGGTTCTTGTCTCAGATTTGATATTCAGATATATCTGGTTGTAGCATCTGTTTAAAAATCTGTCTCCACCAAGACAAGGAGGAGTAGAACCGTTTCATTTATGTCTCCTTTTAAGTGGAAAGAACCTTGTCCTCAAACCCTCCCACAGAGATCAGCAGAATTATGGAGTAAAAAGAAAATTAGATGCAAAACATGCTTTTATACTGTTGTAATAGCCTAATTTTTTACTTTAGGTTTATGAAATTAAGTCTGCCTTTATTATGGCAGACAGCTCTCTCTAAACATATGGGACACCTAAAGCCAGATGAGTTCTGCTCTGCACATGAAGTAAAGACCAGCATTTCTGCTTCTGGTCTCTTCCCCCCTCACCTGCAACCATGCAGCATCTTGATAATGTTTTTTGTGGCATGAAATTTACTTAGTGCTCTTGCTGTTGGGATCAGTTTTTGCCACAACCTAGCAAAGAGGGAAGCTCTTCTCACTGTTCTGCAGATTTTTCTCTCTCTTACTCTTTAAAGAGCAAAATCTTTACAGTTTTTAATTCTCATGAAAGGATTTGACACTGTTGTGAAAGGGCTCAGGTTTTCCAAGCCTTAACTCACCTCTGCCTGGTTCTTTTCCACCTTGTCCTTATCAGCATGTATCTTCCGCAGCAAATGTTTAATTCGCTTGTCACGGAACTGATACTTTTTGCTATTGCTCTCGTTCAGCTTTCTCACTTGAGCTACCAGAAAAGAGGAGACCTGAGCAGTGGAGAAGGGAATAAATAGGAATTAAATCAAGCAGAGATGAAGATGCCATTTACGAACCTAAACTTTATGAAGATCCTTAAGTAGACATATCCATATACTTTGAAAACAGTCTGCGAATTCAGCCAGAGACTTTGGCTATGGATATTTAACTCTGAAATTTCCAGGACTATCCTTTCCCTGTTCCAGTTCTAACCAGACTGAGACACTGCTACACCACAGCACAGTACACCAGGGCAACTTACTGTCCAAAGCAAATCCTGGTAATGGATCATCATCCGCACGACATCAGCAGCACCCTCAGCCAACTGCTTCTCTTTCCCTTCAGGGATCTTGTTTGGCAGTCCCTTGTGCATGAAGAGGTTTGGGGCCATGACTGTGGAAACGTTCCAGAGGTTCATTTTGTTGTTGTTCTCCCTGGCAACCACTTTGCTGAGGAACTCAAGTAGAGCCTGAAGAGAGGGGAAGAGACTTAAGACATTTGTTACTAATAATGCCCAAGAATTACTGTGGCAATTACTGGAGAGATCACTTCGCTAGCACTTTCTCTTGATACCTATGAGCAAATCCTATTTTTCCAGCTGGGAAGTTCAGTGACCAGTTTCTAACACTAGGGTAGCAACAAATAACCACACCAAACAGAGAGCCAGTTTGCCCAGCATTCACAAATCAGGACAGACAGCCTGTGGGGGAAGTGGATGAGCTCTTACTCCTCGGCAGGTGACAATTTAAGACAAGTCCAGTCATAAAAGATATGGAATCCAAAGCTGCCCCTCCTCCCTCCCCCAGGTATCCTCTCAAAGCTATTCCCAGACATGGAAAACCCCCACCCCTTTTGGATTCTCTCTTCTGCCTCATGCCTCCACCAAAGCCAGGATGCATGACAGATCATCTTTGACTGGATTCTGAATTCCAGAGCCTGCAGGATGGTAGCTCAGCCTTGCCTTTATCACCTGGAAGCTGAACTACTCAGGAGAAAAAAAAACCTCAGAGGAAGCACTAGCACCATGACATTTCTAAAGCACAGAGAGCAGAGGCTGTGCCCTGCAGCACAGCTGATCCCATCAGCATCTGCTCTTTCAAAATGTAGCAGGTGAAAGGGCTTCAGATGCCTCCTCATCAGAACAGGGGAGTTAGAATCTTAACAGCTTTTTTGATTTTTTTTTTAATTGAAACCATCTTTCATAGATGATAATACCATAAACCATTGACCAAAAGACAGAGTTTCTTTCTCTGTACCTTAGCATGCCCAAAGACAATGTAAGACCTGTACATCTTTCACTTCATACTGAAATGCTTTAACACACTGAAGGGGAAGAGCATGTTTCTGAACAGAATGCTGGATGCTGCAAGACCACATGGAATCCTACTGCTTTTCAGTTTGTACCTACAAGGTGGAGTGTGCTTACAGCTTGCGTTCTCTGCACAGCCTGCTTGCCTGCTCCCCCCATCCTAGCTTTCCATTCTCAAGTCAGCGAAATAAAACCAAGGAGCATGATGTCTGCTATTTACAAAACCTGATAGAGTTTCCTTGAATAAAAACCTGGAACAAGATCATGTTTTCCCAGTTTAATCCATAACACCGTTACCTTTAGAGTGTTTCTGTTGGGCTCCGGCAGAATCAGGATCAGAAGGTTTAGAGCTTGCAATCTTTGCTTCAGATCTGGAATATCTAATGAGGGAGGGCAACAACAGGACAGGGGATTCAGGCTTCTGACATTTATTTTGGTTTTGAGCAGGGGAATCCCCGAGGAATTATTTCTTGTAGTGTTTGCCACTGGGCTTTGAGGCCTTGTTTTACACAAATAAATCGAACTCGACCTGCCCTTTATGAAGTGAACCCCGTGTGTTTTAGAAGACTGTCTGGTTTGCTTTGGAGTACCCAGTCTACCAGCAGTCTGGTGCCCTTGAAGGGCATCAAAAGACCCCATAAGCCCCCATGTCTTGGACAAAAGAAGTTGTGCACTTAAACAGTTAGCTTAACACATTCAAACCATCTATTGGGACACAAATCTCCAAATAAGGTGCTTGCAAAACATTGCACTACTTGCAGACAGGCCAAGACCCTGCAGCCTGGCCAGCTGTCCCAACTCAGCCTGCATGTCATTATTTATCAATTTGTCCTAATTTGTATTAGCAACCTTTCAGCCTCAAATGAAACAATGTAATTTAAGACTCCAGGACAGCATTCCTACACAAATGTGTGTGAAACCAACCACCAGTGACTATGAATCTGAGGCTGATACACAGTAGTACATACAGCACCAAGCACACAACTTTTGGCTATGGTTCATAACAAAGCATCACAAAATCGTTTGGGTTGGTAAGTTCCTTAAAGCTCACCCAGCTCCAACCCTTGCCACGGGCAGGGACCCCTTCCACTAGAGCAGCTTGCTCCAAGCCCCTGTGTCCTACCTGGCCTTGAGCACTGCCAGGGATGGGGCAGCCACAGCTTCTCTGGGCACCCTGTGCCAGCGCCTCAGCACCCTCACAGGGAAGAGCTTCTGCCTAAGAGCTCAGCTCAGTCTCCCCTCGGGCAGGTTCAAGCCATTCCCCTTGGCCTGTCCCTACAGGCCCTTGTCCCAAGCCCCTCTCCAGGTTTCCTGCAGCCCCTTTAGGCACTGGAGCTGCTCTGAGGTCTCCCCTTCAGGAGCCTTCTCTTCTCCAGGCTGAACAAGCCTGTCTCCATAAGACATATCGTGCTCTGTATTCCCACTGAATCCACAGGCTCTCAACACACCTGGTAGCAGAGTGCAAGTAGAGAACCCGTAGAGCTCTGCAAGAAAAGCACAAATCAGAAAACTGATGCTAAACAGCCAAAGCAGGGACTCACTTTGTACAGCAGCAAAAGCAGGGAGGTACTCTGCTGTCAGCAGTGGGGCTGGCAGTTCCCTTATGAATCTTTTCAGTAGCCCAGACACATCATTCTGGTGGACTTCATCCCAGCGGAAAAGGCCAGTGTAGAAGTCCCTTTCTAGCTTCTGTTCCAGACTCTAGTAAAAAGATGGAATTTATTACATGCTTTAATAAGCAAATACAAGGGAAGTTCTGTAGGTGGGCACTAGAAGGGCAACCCATCAAGTCTGAAGAGTGCAGAGACCCTCACAGCAGACACTCACAGACATCCCTCACAGCAGACACTCCCAGATTTTCCAGCAATGAAAGCTCCAGTTGTATTGGGAAGGGACACGAGACAATTCAGGTTATTTAGACAAGTGCTTCAGTAACATGCTTCCTGATCACCTCTGACACTTTCAAACACTACTGAGGAATTCGTACCTTGATCCTTGTCTGGGACCCAGAAACTCTCAAAATGCCCTCTGTTTCAAGTCCTCTCTTTTCCAAGCAGGACAGCAGCTATTAAAGTGGGGAGGGAAAATAAAGCTCTTAGGCACAAGGGACGAGAAGTCTGCCCTTTCTTATCACAACCTCCTGACTCTGAGAATCAGAATAAAAACAGAAGAAAACTCACTGCTTGGAGTATCAGAGGAACCTTGGTGTTGGGGAGCAGTTTTTGGTCATTTTCCAATAGGGTGTTGAGTGGAACTCCAAAGAGTCTTTTCTCTACAACAGAAAAAACAGGCTTTAAGTCTGTATCACCTCTAATACAGGTGTAAGAATTGTATCCACCACTGCGGACTCAGATGACACATTCTGTAAGCACAGATACTGGAGAAAAAGAGAGGAAGAATTAAACAGGACAAGTGCATTTGGTAGGCAAATGTCAATATGGTGCCAGATCTTGATGTCATGATCCAGTGACTTCCAGGAGAAATTCTGATGAAGGAAAACACACCCGTCACAAGGTTTTTACTAAAGACTCTCGCTGTTGTAACATTTGAAACACAAACCTATGATAAGATCAGTGTTAAAAATACAACCCAAAACAAAAACCAAAGGTACACACACAAACAAATTAAGATGACATACAACTAACCTGTTGTTTTCAGCTTTGCTGCTTTGTTTCTCTTCAGCTCAAAGCCCAGGATATCACAGAGAGCTGTTAGTTCAATAAGGGCCAGCGTGGGGATCTTCTTCATGTCCTGAGCAGACAGATCTCCAACCCTGGTCACTCCAAGTCTGCCCTTGGGGATCTTGAATTTCTAAGGAAACACATACACACCCAAAAGGTTCAGTGCACCTTATCACTACTAATCCTAGTAGTTACCAAGTTTGGCTACATTTTTATCATTCCCTACCATAACCAGCCATAGAAGAGTTAGAGTTGGAAAGGACCTTAAGATCATCAAGTTCCAACCCCTCTGCCATGGGCAGGGACACCTCAGACTAAACCATGTCACCCAAGGCTCTGTCCAACACTGCCTTGAACACTGCCCGGGATAGAGCAGCCAGAGGTTCCTTGGGCATTCTGTGCCAGTGCCTCAGCACCCTCACAGAGAAGAAGTTCTTCCTTATATCTAACCTAAACTTCCCCTATTTCAGTTTGAACCTGTCACCCATTGTCCTATCACTCCAGTCCCTGATGAAGAGCTGCTCTCCAGCATCCTTGTAGGTCCCCTTCAGATACTGGAAGCTGCTCTGAGGTCTCCCCTTCAGGAGCCTTCTCTTCTCCAGGCTGAACAGCCCTGACTCTCTCAGCCTGTCTTCATACAGGAGGAGCTCCAGCCCCTAATCATCCTCATGGCCTCCTCTGGACTTGCTCCAACAGTTCCATGTCCTTCTTATGCTGGGAATACCAGAACTGTATACCTATTCATTCTCCTGTTTTCAATACCAGACAAATGTCCAAAACTACTCTTACTTCTACTCAACCCACAGCTGAACAAATACTTTCTCTTTTCAGTATTGCTCTTTAATCATACTGGAGATCCTAATTTATGTAAATTAAAGACAGCATGATACCCACCCTGATCCACCTGAACTTCAGAAGCAGCCCAGTACATTTGTGGAGGAAAAAATCTGTTATGAGTAAGAAAGCCCAGTTATTCTCTTTTTGGTGGAAATAACCTAGAACTGCATCAAAATACCTAGTTTCACACATAAGCCTTACTTATTTTGACCTCCAACCTGTCCAAAAATACCTAATATAGACCCACTGCAACATTATAAATAGAGGATGTTTCCAAGAGCTGATCATTCACCTGAATCAAATGTCTTGTACCCCTCAACAAGAAGAGACTAATAGGTTCTAACATGAGAAATTCCTTCAGTGCTTACAGTTAGGGCATTGCCTTCCTTTAACTTTGTAGATTCAGACAGGAATGATCCCTTGAGCAGGACAGCTGCTTGCTCTGAGTAGGCAACATCCATGTTGAACATCTCCTCTTTTCCAGGGTTTCGAACTGTGCAGGAGTACTCCTGGGTTTCTGCTACAGGGGAGAAATTGTCTTGAATTTCAGAAAGCCGGAAGTGTGAAGCTTAGCAAACAATGGGCTAAAAAGAGCTTGAAAAAGTTCTGGGTGCCACTGCTTTTAAAAAATCCTGTACACTAACATTTGAGAACAGTGTTCATCGCAGAGTCCTGAGATTGCTCAGGTAGGTTAGCTGAAAGCTGTAACATTATGGCTAAAATCACCCTACAATCACCAGATCACTGATAAGACGTGAGCATAGCCTTAAATTAAAGGACACCTATGGCTAACTTCCGTTCATACGATCATGTATGGTGTCTACAGGTTTTCACCACATAAACATTTCTAGACTGACATTATTTGTTTCTTGAATTGCTTTCTTGAAGAGTTATAGTAACCAGTTTGAGCAGCAGTTCCTAACAACAGTAGAGCCTGAAAAGTTTTGTGAAATCCACAACTGTGGAACCCTGTATTTAAAAATAAAATTATTCAAAAAAATTACTAACAAAAAGCCACCAAAAAAACCACAGACAAGGCCCCCAAAACCACAAACAAGGCCAATGTTTCAGAGCCCAAGTTAGTGTAACTTCCAGCTCCAGTCCCACTTCAGCTCCTACTCCTGTTCACTTCTATTCTACATTTAAAAGTTTCCTTCTTACTTCTGTGTACATTTGAAGTCTGTCGATTGTGCCACAGCTGATCTGGACTGGATTCCTTTTTCTCTGTTGCTGTCTCCTGAAAAATAAATCAGAGCACGTTCATCTACACAAAAAAGCAGTTAATATATGACCACCTGGTTTTGGCAGAAAGCAAACACCTGACATTGTCTGTTGGTCTAAGAAGATGCTGCTCAAGCGCAGGGGTACAAGACTGTTCTGAAATTAAGAATCATAATTAGAGGATTTGGCAGGCAAGTGGCAAACAAATGACTATTACATAGACAATATTTGTGATAAATTTGCACATCATTAAGCCAGCTCTTCCTTTCACACAATCATTAGCCAATTTCCTCCTACTAGTTCACTCACTGAGGGGCTAACACTGAACCAACCAAGCTACACAGGATCGACCCACTGCCTGCAATCATAAGATTTTTCACCAGGAAGAACACAAAGTAGAAATCAGCACCTAAAAGCTTCCCTTCATTGGTTTCATACTAACCTCCCTCTTCACATCTAGAGAGAGAATTGAATCTTTAAAAGCATAAGGAAGCATTTGGTGGACAATTCTGTTAATAAAAACCTTACCAGAACTTACTGGAACTAGTTAGAATATAGGAAAGCTTATTTTATTACTGAAAGTTAGCCACTTTCCCAGAACCTGGGTATGACATGGAGTTGTGGGCTACGGACTGAGGAAAGAAGGCTCCTGAAGGGGAGACCTCAGAGCAGCTCCAGTGCCTAAAGGGGCTGCAGGAAACCTGGAGAGGGGCTTGGGACAAGGGCCTGTAGGGACAGGCCAAGGGGAATGGCTTGAACCTGCCAGAGGGGAGACTGAGCTGAGCTCTTAGGCAGAAGCTCTTCCCTGTGAGGGTGCTGAGGCGCTGGCACAGGGTGCCCAGAGAAGCTGTGGCTGCCCCATCCCTGGCAGTGCTCAAGGCCAGGTTGGACACCGGGGCTTGGAGCAAGCTGCTCCAGTGGAAGGGGTCCTTGCCCGTGGCAGGGGTTGGGGCTGGAGGAGCTTTAAGGTCCCTTCATTACAAACCATTCTACGATTCAGTGATAGCAAAGTTAAAAAGAACCTGTGCAAAGTCAGTGCAAATAGGCAAAACACTTAATCTACACCTATCTTTAGGGTAGTTACATAACTGATGGGCTTGCCACAAAAGCAGAACCAATTCATTTATGTCTACAGCTAAAATCCAGCTCATGCAGTTATGCCAGAGCACCTTCATATCCAGCTGCTGTGTAAACAGTTCACAGGGAAGAGTAATGCAGAAGAAATATGTGGAAAAGTTCTGAAGGAAATACCAACAGCTTTGATGCTCAAGTAGCTCAGGATAGAGGCGAACAGAAGACAAGCTGCAAATCCATCTGAAAACACTGATGGAAATAAAAACCCAAATGACTGACACATCGCTGCCCGCATTCTTACAGCAATGGGGATTTATCATGTTTTGCTGCACACTTCAAACAAGTGTATAGCTACACTAGGCATGTTTCCTCTTATGGTTCCTGAACACATTCTTCAGAGCCCCAGAAACCGTGCTTGGAACTGGCATGACACAGCAAACCAGTATGGAAAATTAACCAAAAAGTCTGCATCCCTCTGGGATTGCTCCAGGAATTACTCAATGGTAAAGGACTTCTGCTCAGAGCTTACATCAGTATCATACCCTAACATCTCAAACATTTACTGATTGAAATAAAAATCACTCATTTGCCTAAGCTGAGCCTCTGTCACTTCCCATGAAACAAAGAGGGCAAACACCACCCCTTGGTGTTGTGAAGGGCAAGAAATACTGAGGTTAAGCTACTGGCCACTCAGTGAAGAAGAAACAAGCAGTCACATAGACCCATTTAAAATACATTTTCTTACTAACCCTAATTAAAAAGGGGGTGAACCCCACTGTTTTTTTGTGTCAGCAACATCCACTAAAAACTGTAGATCTCAGAGGCAACTGCAAAGCTTAAAAAAATCACCAAACCTTTAAAAGAGTTGAGCCAAAGAAAACACGAATAATTCCAGCAGTTATTGGGAAAAAAGCGTCCAGCGATCTTGTCCAAGTAGTAAGTGAGATAAAATGGTTCACTATTAATCAAACTAAAGCTATTTTAAAAGACAATTTTAGCATCTTGGTACATGCTTTCATTACATCAAAATGTCATTTTAAAAGATCAAATTGGATTTCAGTTGTTTATCAAATGCAAATATTCATGACCTAGTGTGTGGACTCATAAGATTAAGAACTCAAAAATCTCCATTCCTATGCAATAAAAAGTAAAATTATTTTAAGAGCTATAACAGGCTTCTATTTAATGTGCAAGTGCTAAAACTTGTTGAAATTCAGTTGAGGCACTTCAGAGAACCTTGGAGCATTACTGCTTCTAGAAATGTCACCCATTCAAGCAGGAATGCAGGTAGTGCTCTGCAAAAGAGAACCAGCCATGACTCTGCCTCAGTGCAATTCAAAGGAAATAATCTGCATCTCAGCACAGGGCAGTTACAAAGAACACAACCACAGCAGCTTCCCATAATGATGTACTCTTAGTGTTATTCTTTTAAGGCATTCAAGGGACTATTGGGTTATAATTAATCTCACTATAGTAAAAGAAGTTTCAGGTAGGCTCAGGCTGAGAAAAAGGAGTAATCACTTCTGGCAGACAGCAAGGGACCCATGCTACTCAAAAAGGTAGATCTTGGTTAAGCTCAATACCTTCTGACTAGACACCTAACTGAGCAGAGGAAGCTACAAGAAGCCCTGAATGGGGTACTCTCCAGCAGCCCCTAGAAGAAACAAAGGTGCTGTACCTGTGGCCACAACCAAAAGAGGAGCAGCAGAGCAGAAAAGCAGCTGAAAAGCTAATGGTTATGTATTGGCTAGCAAAACCAAGAAAAAGGCAGTGGCTAGTTTTTCTTCAGGATTACCAGCTGCTCAGGGGCATCTTGTCAGGATGGAACATAGGAAGTTATCTCTCTTTTTTTTTTTTGATAATAATAATTTGACGTGCCACTGGAATAAAGAAAACACAAGAGGGCTCCAAACAATACCAGTGCTCCACAGGGCTGCGGGGCTGTAGGCACTACATAAAGTCTTCAGGCAGTCTCTAGGAAGCTTATGGAGGTTTGGTAACAACTTCTCAACACTGCAACCTGGATGCAGAATTTCTACCATCTCAGCTTTATTTCAGCTCAAGAGATGAATTTTGTCTATTTGGAACTGACAGTAGCCCTAGACCCAGAAAGCCCACTCAGCTACTGTGATGCAACCAAGTCTTTCAGGAGATCCCACTAAACCAGCATACCTCCGAGCCGACCACTCCAAAAATGTCTCTGACATCACGCACAGGATGCTTGTTCCTCCTCCGGGACCGGGAATAGGTGTCCAGCCGCCGCTGCACAGCAGCAGCCTGGGTCTTGGTCAGGGTGGAGAGCAGCACGATGTTGTCGTGCTCAGAGGCACAGTCCCTGAGGAGGTTGGACAGACCTGCGTCCTGGAGCCACTCAGCTTCAGCCTCTCCCTCTGCGACACAAGGGGTGAGAAGGTCGAGTGAGATAAGGAAGGATAACAGCAATTTGGATGCTTGCAACACTTCAGAGGCAGAAAACCAGAACCCTGAGACATCCCCTTTCTGGGGTGTCAATGGGACATCACTGGAAGGAAGCCATATCTTTGTTACAAAGCCACTGTCACTCTCAAAGCCTTAGCCCTGTTCCCAGATTCCCTGCTGGGTATCAGGTGAAACTGGAGGAGACACAGCACTTTAGGCAGCTATAACTGCCCACATACTCCCTTCTCCTCACCTAGGGTGAGGAAAGAGAAGAAAAAGCACAGGTATTGCTGGGAATGCAGGCTCCCTTGGAAGCTGGGCAGAAGAGGGGACAGAAGTGTGAATCTGTGGTATTCAGCACAGGAATTGAACTCAGTGGGGGCTTTTACAGGATACAGCAGGAGAGCCACTTGCTTAAATCTGCTTTTACAAAGGGTATCTCTGGATGCAGGCAACAGCACTCAGCACACTCAGAATGAACAGCGGTGTCTCTGTGGAGCATCCCTGCTTCATTGACAGCTTTGGGAATGGACAGAAAAAGATCTATGGGAAGTCACAACATCTGCATGTTTGGCTGTAGGCCTCTTCCCAGTTACTTGGCTATTTATTTTACTGTGTATTTATCTACATACAGGCCTGTGCTTCAACTCATTTAATTCTTCTATTTTTTTTTTTAATATCCAGACACTGCTCTGGTAGATTCACAGTACATTTGTGTGACTATTTGCCTGCACCATTCTCTATCACTTTAGGTGGACTGGTACCAGTACAGTCATCCAACAAAAGCAAAAGTTATATTCTTACTCTGTGCCTTTGCTTTATGCCTGTGCCTATTCAAAACATCCCTAAAATTAAAGAGCATTTCAGCTCCAGAACGAGGTCTGAGACACCTGGAGACAGTACAGCAGCATTACTCAAACAAGCTCAATTCCACTTCGTACTTCAATACATATTATGATACGCTGCAAACCCAGAAGACAATTTTTCCCTTATGGGCTTCACCCTCTGTGCAGCTGAGAAAATGCCCTGAGAAAGGCAGCTACTTGAAATCCAAGAATAAAAGAAGTGATGTATCACTTTGATACGGTGAACACCACAAAGCCTTTAGCTTTCCAACTCTATTTCCCTCATTCATTCACTGTAGGCAGCTCCAACACAGCTCTAGCAAAGGTTATACTGGGAAAAAGTAAAATCACAACCGGACTGCAACACAGCTGTTCATTCCCACTTTGCCTTTCCCCTGCAAACTGGTATTACAGTATCACAGCTGCTTAGGCAAAGTTTTATTATTGCTGCATCTAAACAAAAAAGCCATTTAGTCTCTTCTTAGAATCTTATAATGGCTTGAGTTGGAATGGACCTTAAAGCTCATCCAATTCCAAGCTGCCTCAGAGGGGAGACTGAGCTGAGCTCTTAGGCAGAAGCTCTTCCCTGTGAGGGTGCTGAGGCGCTGGCACAGGGTGCCCAGAGAAGCTGTGGCTGCCCCATCCCTGGCAGTGCCCAAGGCCAGGTTGGACACAGGGGCTTGGAGCAAGCTGCTCCAGTGGAAGGGGTCCCTGCCCGTGGCAGGGGTTGGGACTGGATGAGCTTTAAGGTCCCTTCCAACACAAACCAGGCTGGGATTCTATGATCCCCCAGAAGTGTTTGCTCGATTACAGTTGCTCATACACCATGGTCCTGTGCCTGACTCCTCACAGCAATCTGTGCTGCACCCATGGTTTCAGCAGCACAGCATGCAAAAAACTTGTGGTTTATTTTGCCTTTGGAACCAAAGGAAGTGAAGTGTATTGCTTGCAAATTTTGAAAATACCCAGTTCCAGTCATAACAGGAAACTAATCTAATACACAATGCTAAACAGCGGGCCCCAAATCGGATACCGGGTGAGCCTACTGCCCCACCTGATGCCAAAGCACCAGATTTTAATTCATCTGTTTAATATTTTTGGCCCAGATATGTTTGCCAGTTACACAAAAGGAAACGTGTAAAATAGGTTATTTATGGGGAGAAGAGGGAAATTGGAGAGAAACATGTCAGAACCGAGATGTCCACAGAAGCTGAGCTGCAGGTTTGGGCCTGGAGAGCTGCTAAGGTTTGCCTTGGGCTTTCCAGACAAGGAGCGTTTCAGGTGGCCACAGTCAGGGATAAATTTACAAAATTAAAGAACTCCAGTTTCAGAAACTTACTTGAAATGTAAGCTGGCCAAAACCAGCACTGGTAATAAACGGGTTTATTTCCAAAAGTTTAAAAGGACAGCTTCAGTACCCTACAATTTCAGACTAAACATTAAACACAACTTCCTATACAATGTTGGAAGGTAGAGAAGGATCCCTCTTTGCTGACACTTCCCAGGCATGATTACGTGCTGTAAGGATGCCAGCAGGTACATCAGTGGCACTACCACACAGAGCGCACTCTTCACCAGCTGCTGCACTGCCGGACCCCAGAGAGCTGGATGAATGGCAAGGAAAGGACACTGCTGCTCTGCTCCAGGGAAAAGCTCCCTTCTGCTGCCTTCAGCTGCTGGTGAGGCCACAAGTGTCAGCAGCTCCTTCCAGCTGACCCAGCTCTGCAGTTACACACTGGGCTCCAGCTCACTCCAGGTCACAGGAAGCTTCCATTACACCAATCCTTACACGGGGCTCTCCAAGCAGGTCAGCATCTCCGCAATGCCTTATCCACAAGCAGCCTCCATGCTGCCCCTGCACTTCGGTTAGGATCAGCTCTGTGTCAGCCTTGGAGCTCTCTGCACCTGCCCAAGCACAACTTCTAGGGCTGTATGCAAAGAGCAACGGTGCCTTTGGCTCCGAGGAGCCCCGCAGCCCCTGCCTGGCACTGCCACCTCACAGGGCTCCAACCCTAAACTGCAGAGACAAGAGAGGCACCAGCCCAGCCCAGGATCCGCACCACCGGGAGGCTCCCCTCACCACTAACACTGCCAGCACAGTGCTCCTTTGACAACGCTCCCTTGCAGGCGGCACCGGGAGCCAAGCTGCACATCTCCTGCCCCAGCCTGCCGGGAAGGCTTCGCACCTTTGGGCACTACTTCAAGTCTGTCTGGTTTCAGTGGCCAATTAAGCAGTCAGCTCTTGCCTGCTACTTCAATTTACAGCACTAGCATTAAAAGACACTTTTCCTTGTGCCCTTGCTTACACATAGGAATCATATTGCCTCTAGCATATCAGCCTTTCGGATATCCCAGACAGTTTTTCATCTCATGGCATCACCTCTTTCCCAGGGTCTTCTTCCAGGCACATTCCTGGCATTTTTGCATCTCTTCTAGTTCTAAAAATCAAGTTTACATCCTTTACACAGAGGCACTAACAGCAGACCTTAATGCTTACTGTGTCTTGCCTACTATGGCTGACACAAATGGTGATCTCCCCAGAGTCCCCTCTATGCACCTAGAAGAGCTATTTACCTGTCTGAAGCACAGCAAACACATGGGACTTTCACTGAAACATGTTCCCATTACACCCATGGTTCCTTCTCAAGATTAGCAGCATTCAAGGTCAGGTTGGATGGGGCTTGGAGCAAGCTGCTCTAGTGGAAGATGTGCCTGCCTGTGGCAGAGGTTGGAACTGGATGAGCTTATGGTCCTTTTCAAGCAGTCTGATTCTATGATCAGGCCAGCACAACAGATGTAGGCTGTACAGGCTGCAAACCCGACCCTTCCAGAGCATGTAGAGCCAACTAAACCATATTATTCAAAACAGAGCCGGGAAATGTGTGATCCCAATCTGTTTATCAGTGCTTATCACCCCTCCAGCCCCCGCTCGCTGTACCTTCTATGTCAAAAGGCAATTGATCCAGTTATTCCAAACTACTGAATAACACCACCACTAGAGACAGCCCATTAGAAACACCTCATGTAGATAAAGCAGTCCTCAAATGAAAGGGGAGAGAGGGGAAGGCAACATATAAGAAAACCATTGTGTAGGTGGACTCAAGTCATTTTGGATGTTTATTATGGCCTCTTGAAGAGTAAATTAGAGTGGGAAATGTCTGCCTTTTACAAAAGCAACTCTCAGAAAAGCCACTGTGATGAAGTCTTAGAACCACATACACAAGCAAGCCTTCCAAACCACCACCAGCTATCACAGGGTGTTTATCACCACACAGCCACCTGCACAGGGAGCAAGAAGCTCCTGCTGGAAAAAGCCTGGAGCCTTGAACATACTCCTGACTGCCCTTTAGAGTCAGCTTTGTTTCAGAAGCTGAAACCAGGCCAGGCCAGCACTTCCCTTGAGCAGGTCGTTAGCCACCACCCAAATAAAGAGATAGACATATCTGATTTGACTGGTAATATTCAAGCCGTATTGCAACATGCTTCTAAATCATTCAGGTACATAAGCAAATTTTGTGTTCAGGATGCTCACCTTCCAACCCAAACCATTCTATAATTCTGTGACCTTCCTCCCCTCACTCCCTACCTTTTCAGCAACTTACCTTCTTGTGCTTTGACATCTGCAAGGCTGCATTCCTCTTGCTCCACTTCAGCACTCTGTTTAATGTTCTCCACTTCCAGCCAAAAACTGTCCATTGACAACTTGTCCGAAGACTCTACCCTGGGATTCATGCTCTCTGACACTGAGGATGCCAAAAGACTCTCCGGAGGAAGCTGGCTCATTTTGCAAAGGCAATTTCTGGTACTGAGACAGGAAGAGATAAAGAGAGACATTAAGCCAGGCACAGCTACAGGCTGGGCAGAGAAGAGATTCAGAGCAGCCCTGCGGAGAAGGACTTGGGGGTGCTGGTCGATGAGAAAATGAACATGAGCCGGCTTCAGTGTGCGCTCGCAGCCCAGAAAGCAACCGTATCCTGGGCTGCATCAAAAGGAGCGTGACCAGCAGGTCCAAGGAGCTGACCCTGCCCCTCTACTCTGCTCTTCTGAGACCCCACTTGCAGCACTCTGTGCAGTTCTGGTGTCCTCAACATATGAAGGACATGGAACTGTTGGAACAAGTCCAGAGGAGTCCAGGAGGATGATCAGGGGCTGAAGCACCTCCTGTATGGAGAAACACTGAGAAAATTGGGGTTGTTCAGCCTGGAGAAGAGAAGGCTGCGGGGAGACCTCAGAGCAGCCTTCCAGTATCTGAAGGGGGCCTACAGGGATGCTGGGGAGGGACTGCTCATTAGGGACTGCAGTGACAGGACAATGGGTAACTGGTTAAAATTTAAACAGGGGAAGCTTAAATTGGATAGAAGGAGGAAGTTCTTTAATGTAAGGGTTCTTTACTGGAACAGGTTGCCCAACAAAGTTGTGAATGCTCCATCCCTGGCAGTGTTTAAGGCCAGGTTGGACAGAGCCTTGGGTGGCATGGTTTAGTGTGAAGTATCCCCGCCCATGGCAGGGGGGTTGGAACTTGATGATCTTAAGGTCCTTTCCAACCCTAACTATTCTATGATTCTATGTATTCACATACGGCATTCACAATACAGCAGCCTTCATTGATTAATAACTGCGACAAAAGCCAAACAGAGGTAAGTGCTAGACTTCCTTCGATTAGCATTTTGCAATAACAGACAAGGTTGGGATCAAATTCCCTAGAGAATGGGAAAAACTGCTGTCCAAACATGAGAAAGGATGCAGCATCGACACGGGTTTTCTGATGGGACCTTTCTTGAAGGGACCTTCAAGACAACAACTACAACTCCAACACTTGCTTCCAAGATTTCCCTGTAAACTTGCAGATACCCTCAACATCCAGAGTAAACCAAGATGCTTCAAGCTTGCTGCACTTGTGCTCTGGTTATCTGACACACACAAAAGCAACAACTCCCAGACACAGTGGACTGAACCCAGTAACAAAAGCTGGTACAGCTCCCTCTCCTGCATTACAGATCATTCAAAAAAGTTGGATGTTTGAGGCCCTCTTTTCCTGCCCACATCAGATTTTTAGCTGTGAAACCCCAACAGACAGAATTTTCTTACCACCTTGCTGATTAATTCATGGGCAGCCAAATTCCCAGACCTGTCTCATTCAGCTTTCACCCTCTGCAGAAAGTTGTGAGGTGTCATCAGTCCGTAAAATAATACCTCTCCTAAAATGAATTTCAATTTTCTTCAGAGGGCTCTAAGCCATTTAAACCCAGCTCTATCTGGTGAAATAGGTTTTTCAAAGACTTATAAGAAAGTAAAAATTGGAAACTACAACAAAACTCCTACAACATGCAATTTAGCTCCTACCTCCGGAAGGGCTTAGAAAGTTAGAGATGGCAAAGTATCTGCAAAATTTTATCTCCCTCCGTTGGGGAAAGCCATTATTAGCAGTTCTGGCACTAACTTGCTTGTTATAAGAAACATTTCCCAGAATCCCAGACTGGTTTGGGTTGGAAGGGACCTTAAAGCTCATTCAACTCCAACCCCTGCCACAGGCAGGGACCCCTTCCACTGGAGCAGCTTGCTCCAAGCCCCTGTGTCCAACCTGGCCTTGAGCACTGCCAGGGATGGGGCAGCCACAGCTTCTCTGGGCACCCTGTGCCAGCACCTCAGCACCCTCACAGGGAAGAGCTTCTGCCTAAGAGCTCATCTCAGTCTCCCCGCTGGCAGGTTCAAGCCATTCCCCTTGGCCTGTCCCTACAGGCCCTTGTCCCAAGCCCCTCTCCAGGTTTCCTGCAGCCCCTTTAGGCACTGGAAGTTGCTTTGAGGTCACTCTAGAGCCTTTACTTCTCCAAGGTGATACAGCCCAGCATCACCTTTTTATACGCTGATGTAGGCCAGCACATGGTTGGCTTTCTGGACTGCAAGCATACACTGCCAACTCGTTTCAACTCATAAAGGAATAAATTTGAAGATCTAAAAACTAACAGACGTGTCGTAGGACATTCTGCACTTGTGTTTACACGTTCATGCATACTATGCTCATACCTTCTTCCAACATGCACATAGCAGCCCTTCCCTTCTAAAGGTCAGAAGTAAAGCAATAAGCATCATTCCAGGAACATCTGGAGCCAGCCACATGATTGAGAACAAGAATAAGGAGGGTTTGTTTGTTTGTTTTAGAGGAACACAAAAGAAAAAGTTTGAAAAGAGCTACTACACCACCCAGTCCCCCTCTGATAAGGGTAGAGGCAATCTGCTTTCTTAGCGGCCATCCCCACTTTTCCCACCACTCCACTTTCCTATTCCTGGATATCCAAATAACAGGCCTCCAGGTGAGATGCCACTTTATAGCCTGACAAACCTACCTTGGTAGCATCAAAAAAGCATTTAATACTTGGCCATGACATCCCACCAGAATTCTGTTACACAGCAGTCAACAGAAATCATCACTTGCAACATGAAATGAACTAGGAAGAGGATTTTATATTATCTTGAGGGATTTGGCTTTGGCCATATCAGTGCCAGAAACACTGGAGCCAAACTTGCACTGAAGAGCAGTCTCACAGCGCACAACATTACACAGGCTAAGGAACCATCTTACAGGCTCTCTTAATTGCCCTACTGAAGGGACACAACTACTCTTCTTGCCCTAAGTTACTGCCCTGTACTACTGGGGATCTAGGTCCTGACCAGAGCAGCTCTGACATGTACCTTTCCTTCATGTTCAGCTTGGTTGAAAGCTGGCTCATCTAACACAGCTTACTGAAATCTCCCCGGCTTCACACCAAAACAGAACATAGGTTTGCAGATCCAGCAGAACCTACCCTAGACCTGAGCAGCAGAGGTCTGCAGCAAGCCTGTGTCACACACAGCTATAGCAGTCCCTTTGCCACACCTGCCACATGCCTGCCTGGAAAAATAACCCAAAATGTTAAGCCAACATAAACACAGTCTTCAGGTCTTTCAAAAAGAGCAACTCTTGACTTTGATGTTCTGTGAGACTTACCCAGATACAAGGTTCTGAATGCAAGTTTTAGTCCAGGAGATACTACAACCACGTGGAGTCATACTTATTTAAGGCATTCGGACATATTCCTGGTGCACATTTGAGAAGGATCACAACATCCTTACAGTTCTGGCTTCAGACCATAGACCTGCAAACAGTTTGTTTTGATCTACCAGCACCTTCAGTCTCCTTCAAGACAAAGAGTACTGCTGCAAGGATATAGTTTTGCCAGCCAACAGTGAACTGCTGTACCCTGTCCCACTTTGACTCATGCCTCCGTATCACCCACAGGTATTTTGCTTCCTTTCACAGCTGAAAATATAGATAATCTAGTAGTGCTTGCACCAAAAACGTCCACCACAGTCACACTATAGTGGGCTGCCTACACTAGGAGAGCCATATTTGAACAGCCGAAAGCCATCCCAGCTTTTTTCCTCAACAACCCCCAGATACTGATGCACTAAACTCTATTTCAACAAGGTGCAGGATGCTAGTGTCACACAGCAGCTCAACACTTAAGCTAGCGCTGTTGTTCCTGCTTCACTGGACACCACCAAAGCAAAATCAGGCCTTTACAGTTAGAAAATTATTTATTTTCTGGTCTAAATGTTCTTTTTCCTTGAACATGGTGCTTTAGAAATCCAACTGCCCAGGTGGAAGGTTAATTTTAGATACAGTGCACCTGAAAGATTGTTCTTCCTCATTGCATTCCCAAGTCACCAGAGGGCAATCTGTGACGTACAAATGTAGCAACAGTTTAGATTGAAAGCCTAGATTGTTGGCTTAAAATGTTAATTGCTCAGTTGCAACTGGGCAAAAAGTAGGCGGAATAATCAAGTTCCCTCAGTTGCACTGTCACCGCAACAGAAAGCTTAAGATTATAAAGTTTTAAAAATTAACCCAACAAAAAGCAAACTGACAGAAAGATCTGGTTAAGGACAACCATAAAGATTACTCTGTGGAAAGACTGACACCCCTCCTGCAATAATGCAACCTGCCCTTTTCTGAGAGCAGAGCCAGTTATAATGTGGCTCAAGATCCATTCAGCTGACTTACCTAACACCTTCAGTCTAACCCTGACTTAACAGGACTAACAGAGTTGCAAGAAATTAGACTGTCATGGACCTTACACAGTTCATTTTCTTACTGTTGCTTCTATAAATCCCCTCCATGCAGAGTGCTGGTAGCCCTGGACAAGCTCTGCATCCTGCACAGTGCTGACTCTAAGCAATGGTAGCTCACCAGTCCTGGGCTAGAATCTAGTCTCAGGGTTGTTTTTGATCTGCTCCTAGATACTGTCAATGCATGGCAAATATATTGCAAACACTCATGCAACTCTCAGCCCTCTTGAGTATCAAAATAAAATAAACACTGTTGCTATGCATCTGTTCATTCCAAGCTTGAATCATTCCCACCGGAGAGCTTCTGAAAGGATCTGGAGCTGCCTCAACGACTTCACTGCTTGCTCAACATCCTTCCCTCATTAAAATACCTCTCTAGCAGATGAATAAATAAAGAGGTTCCTTCTCAAGCATTTAAAACAGAACATGAAGCAACAAGTGTAAGCCAAGAAAATGGAATTATTGTAAGAGGGTTTCCAGAACTAAGATGAGAAGGAGGCAACAAGAGCAGAAGAATTAAGTTACACAAGCCAGCCCCAGCCCTTCCACATAAGCACCTAGACTTTTTAAAGACATTTCCAATGATCTAGAGCAAGCACAAAGGGACACATCAAACACAGAAACAGATGGAGTGAGCTCTCAATTAACCTCATGAGCAAGTTAGGAGAAGCACACCAAGTCACAGCATCACAGCAGCCCAGACCAGTCCCACGAAACACAAGCTTTTCTGAACGAAGAGTGGGACATCATTCTAGCAACTGGTTGCAGTATTTCAACAGATAAAGACATGAAGTCAAAGAACAAAAACCACGTCAGCATCACATCACACATCTCCCCATCCTTCAACGTACTTCAAGG